GATTGATTTGGACTGCGGCATCGCTGGAGAAGCGCAGAAATAAGGAGAGAATACGTCATCGATTGCGGCGCATCACACCCCTTATGTTTTTAAAATCAACAATCACAACACCAAATTTCTCGAGGAATATTTAGATACTCAGTAAATTTACCAATCTTTAGATTACTTCTTTACTTTCAATCAAGGTCATCTCTTATCTTCTTTGACTTCAATTTGAGCAATGTGTTGAGGCTTGCTGTTTTAACAAATCTTGCCTTTGCTTGTTATGCCAATCCTTTGAAACTTCTAAAGCTTCCAAATGAGAACTGATTTCTTCTTTAGCACTTGTCAGTTGCCGTTTCAAGTCTTTATTTTGTTGTTCCAATCTGCCCACATAACTCTGTGTCTGTTATTGCCAGAGTTTTAACTGGCTCATCTTTCCTTAAATCACAATCATTACATATACATAATACAGTGTGGCAGAGCATCATCATCAAGAGCTTTTTTACACTCAGCACAAATATAAGCAATGTCATTGTAATCATTGTTGCTTGTATTGTGAGATACACCATTTTGTAAGTAGCAGTTAAACTTCCTTCTCTTTCAAAATAAAAAGGGCAGAAATTGCAATGCCATTTATCTCCTCTCCTTAATTCATTGGCTTGATATTCTAATTTCATGCTATTTATTTTTTTGTAAAATGTAGGTGTTGAACTTTTCGCTTTCATTTGTTCTTTACTTTGTTAGTTAGGAGTTTGAATTTTCTTTCTTTCTTTGGTAAGGATGGTAGGTCTTGGAGTTGCTTTCCAGAGGTTAAAAAATTCATGGACTTGGAATTTACAGGAAGATCTCCAGTATTAGTATGTCAAAATGAAAAATGAACTAATTACTTTACAGGTTGAAACTGAAAATGTAAGTATTTTGACTGTCACAGTATCCTATGTAATACAAATTATGAAGAAAATTGATACTGGAAAATGTACTTCAGCTGATGACATACTATTTTGTGATTTGTTCTCAATGGGCTACAATTGTAATCTTTAGAATGACGATGAAACCCCAAAGGTTAAACAACACAAAACTAGAAATGGAGGGGCAATACCAAATTATCATGAACCTTCTAGTTCTGAAGAAAATGTAACTCATGTTTGCCCTGACGTTAGAATTATTGAATCTCGATGGCATCGACTGATGCCGACGTCATCGATTTCGCAATTTAAAAATTGAAATTGCGCTATCAAATTATGCCCTGTCATAAAGATGGACTATGAAATTGCGTCCCGGTGACTGTAAAATTGTGCCGGCATCCTGTTAATAAAAAGAGGGATTGATGAACAATTAATAAATTAAACTCATTGCTCTGAGAAGGGTTTTATTCATTGGAGCGTTTAAGGTGCGATTGTTCTCGGCTTGATAACTGACAACCAGGATGGCACTCACCTTATGCGGCCTAAACGCTGTGATAAGATTGTCGAGAAATCGCTTGACTCATGCTTGACTTGTGTCGCCACCTGAATGCTAGGATACCTGATCAGAGGATTGAAAGGGTGAATTTCTGAACCAATGTGTTAGAACGTGCAGAAGTAATAGGGGCTATATTAGCTGCAACCTTTAAGTCCTTGCAATAGCCCTCTCCATTCTCACCTCTGCGTGTTCCTTGATGTGGTCGTCTTTCTCTTCACGCAAGCTTGTTTTGATGAGAAGATTTCTTCTTTTTGTTTGCTGCTCCCAGAAATACCACTTTCTTCTCGACCTAATAGGAGAGCACGCCTACCAGCCAAGAGCAATCGTACTTAAACGCTCCAAAGATAAAACCTTTCCCCAGAATAGGTAAATTATTGAGTGTCTGTCATGCTCGAGCAAGATCGCAAAGTAGAACAATCACATAACCAACCGCACAAGAAGCCTGCAATGAAGCTAGTAGAGTATCAAGCAGGAACTGCGAAATAATGCGCCGCTCCATTCGCATCTGACTCAAACTGACGATTTAGAAAATGCCATGCCCTGAACGTTGCCGTTCAGTACCTTTTGCTCGATTTCAGACAATTTGGCGTAATAGTTGTTGAATATTATCAAATCGCCTTTGTACGGATCGTACTTTCCATTCTCAGCTTCCAAATCACTGAGGGAGAGCCAGAAATCCAAGAACTTCTTTAGAGGAGGCTTCCAAAAAATCAGCGTATGCTGTAAGAAACAAGGGGCGGCCCACGCATTTGCTTATAGCAGAACGCGTGTGTGCAAAATATTGAGCGCATTGCTAAAGCTATTACGCGTTGGCTTGATCGGGTTGGCTCTGCAATGCCTCTGGAATCCTGGTATGCAGTTTGCACGGAGTAAGAGGAATTTCATTAGTGACAGTGCCATTAATATGTCACAAAAATGTGATATTCTAGAACGTGATATATTCTAGTGTACGAGTTACAGATCAGTTAGGAACTCAGTCATTCAGTCCAGAACTCAGACACTCAGTCCAGGTCCCAACTGAGGTACAGCACAGATTAGGTATTCCCAATGCACCTTCGAGAACGTATCAGTGCATCGTTATTGATAAAAGTGTTTTCGATGCAATTGGCTGTATTACGATACACGTATATTGCGCTAGAAAATAAGTTATTTGCCTAGTCAATTTTAATCCTCAGTAACACATTAAAATAGCAAGAAGCATTGTTAACATAACGTCGGTGCTCGGGTATCTATGCCATTTATGCCAGCTGTTAATAAGTTGTAAAAGGTTTGATAAAGATAAATACAGCACCATTGTCTTGCATCATCGTCTGCATCCCTGCATATAGTATGTTCTGCGTTAAACTTGGTGCGAATAATATTATGGTCGTGACTCAATTAATACTGTGCACGACATTACCGAGATGAGTGATGCTTGCTTGGTGACTATTGAGTACTAGACGGGGGTGCTTTTTTTGCAATGGTAATCTATCTACAGAATCACTTTAAAATAGGGTGCTCTAACATCCTTTAGATAGGGGGTTTTTTTCGGAACCTGTATTTTAATGGTAGGCTATCTAATAAACTCGGTGTCTTATCGGTATAAGGAAACCAATTTGGATAATTGTCTCAAATATCTAATTGATTACCCTTAGCAAGTATAAAAACTATTTAATTTAAACTAGTTTAATACACGATTTTTAGATTTACAATCAATCCTTTGTTAAGTTTAGCCTTAATACGAATAATAATAAACAAACAACACAGTACGTTAATTCACGAATGTTGGCATTTTCAAAAGCAATATTTTAAGCTCTCAATTATCAATTATTTTAGTTTCGGAATGTCATACACTTACAAACGTTTATCATTAATTTTTATCATTAATGAGCTTTCGGGAAGTGAGCTTTCAATGTGTTAGACTTATGTTACAGTGCATATTTAACTACATGTTGTCTCTTAAAATATAGTCCTTTACTGTCAAAAACGTAGATAGTCTGGTGCTTGTTTAGCAATTTTAATAATTAAACCATTTTGACATAATCTAAGAAACCTTTCTTATAAGTTATAACATACTATTTTCTGCCCCATTGTGCCTTCGGTAGAAACATTCTTCTTATACTTGAGACATAGCGTAAGCTCTTGTTAACGGTTATTGCAGATATTTCTGACTTGTGTTAGCAATAGAAGAACTACTTATAACGCGTTAGTTCAATCTTAGTACATTAATGCAGAATCCTTTAGTATTAAGCAGGTTAGACTTTCTTGCTTCTTGGGACGCTAACTGGCTTTCTGCTCCATCACATATATTGCTCTACTTGAGCCATCAAGATTATGCTCCCTTACACGATCAACTTTAGAGTAAGTTAATGAATTTAATGCTAAATTACCTTTAATATTAATATTCCGAGGTAACCATGACTATTTTACGTAAATATGAATTTATAACTTGTAAAGTTGTCCAATGCCGTTATTAATAAACTTGTATTATTGTTTATAGCATTTGTTTGTTTAATCATGTTTTAAATAAACTGCACTTGGTAGGGAAAAAGGTAAATACAAGTTTTCTTGTTTGAAATTCCAAAATTATAGCTTATTATTCTTGTAATGCAGAAAATAATAATGTAATAAATTGCCAATAGCAAAAAAGCGCAAAACGCAGGGGGGGGGGAAGGTATTAAAAATATTCAATATCAATATAAATTACATATATTGAAAATAAAGAATAATTTAGTTAAACAAAATGCTAGTGTCGGTTGTCTGTAGAAATTTAAATTTGATGACAACCACAACGGTTGTATAATTTAGTTAAATACTAAATATTTAGCTGTCGCTGAGAAACTTTTTAGTATACGTTATGCAGGGTAACATCTCATGTCTCTTAGCAGGGATCAAAGCATGACTAACATGGCTTCACTGAGATGTTCAAGTACTGCTTCAATGAGACACTACGCGTTATCAGAAAATTTACTGCGACACGAAGTCATTAATACACTAGTTTAGGTACTCTAGTTACGGTAAAGTACAATTCTCCAGAGGATTGCGCTATCAAAAGAGATGCTACATCCGGGATAATATTAGGGATAGAGTAAAGAGGTAGAATATAGCGTTACGCAAAGTATTTTTACTCACCGATTGCACAGGCTGCGTAATATGCATCTAGAACCAATTAATAATTTATAAAACGCTATTCGCCATCGCCACACTACATTTGTCAATGACAAAATTTCAAAATTGTAAAAATAGCCAAACAAATTAGTCTTGAAATGCTTTACCTGGCAAGAGTTGTTTTGCATAGTCTTTCTTCGAATTTGTTTATATAGGATCATATTACGTAATTCAAATACAAGATTATTATTTTTAACAAATGTCCTGGAAATGTTGTTAGAAAATGTAGTTGTTGATAAACAGTGTAAAAGGTATTGTTTTCATAACAAGACCCTACTCGTATTTTATATTGTAATTCGCAAAGTTGAAAGATAAATGAAGACATTATTCATTAACTGTTCGACTCAATAATTATATCACTCTTGTAATAAAATTATTGGTATTATTATTATCGATGAGCTGTAATTGGCTACGTGTCGTGTTCCAAAAATAAAAATACTTCTCAAGCGATATATATTCATTTGTTACACATGAAATATTAATATAAGCAAAGTGAATGTTTGGGAAATAAAGAGTATTTATTGGTAAATTTATTTAACATATAGACCTTGTTAATAAAGGAATATAAGTGACAATAGGCAATGTCGTGTAACAAATGAGTTATGTATTAAGTAAAAAATTGCTCATGTGATAATTCATGTTTTTTTTGTAATACACACAAATGTCATTTAGGCAGGAACATACACCTTTCCCACAATGTTCTCGATAACCATCTGACTGAATAGTAACCTATCAAATTACGACAACTATTCGCTTAACGACGCATCACACTTGTTCATTTAATCGCCTTGAAATATTAACATCACGGGCGGAGTACAAACGAAAAATTATAACCGGCAAAGACGATCATAGCATCTCTATCCTAATAGAGCTTTACGATGACCAATATTAAATATTTTGAGCATTGTTATATTGTCTGTGTCATAACGTGATGTGAGACATGCGTCAAGTGACTATGCGTTTGAGAATTTATATAATATGAGGTTCGAAATCATGGTAGTCAAGTATCAGTTAGCTTGAGTCAACATATTATCGCTCATTACTTACATATTTATCGTGTTATTATATCACAAACATCAATATGGCTAACACTAATGACATGGTTAATGATATCACAAATAATGGTCATATTTGTGCAAACTGTGATGTGCTGTTTTACGATTCTGATGATGACAAAAGTGATGAATCTAGTGACCATAATTACACGGAAGAATGCGCATCGGAGGTGACTATTAAAATATCAAGTAGACTTTATGTAATTTAATAACGCTTATTATTATTGCTAACATAAATGTAAATTTACATTCTTTTTATTGAAATCTTGAATACAATAACAAGGCGCCTAGTTCTGGCAGTATTTCATCGTCTACTGCTCCTTCTGATTCTTCGTCAGCTGCTTCTGATTCTTCGTCAGCTGCTTCTGATTCTTCGTCAGCTGCTTCTGATTCTTCGTCAGCACCTGATACGTCATTCGCTGCCAATTTATCTCCTCCTACTCTGACATTCGATCCAACAGATTCATTAGAAATATTCGGTCCTGATCATCGCGAGAGTCGGACCACTGAATGGGTAAATGAACAACAAAGATTATATTATTAACTAAGAAACTTTCCGTGTGAAAGGTATAACGTTTAAGTTTTATTTATTATTGCAAAAAATTGTTGCAATATAACAAATAAGATGTATTCACCAATAAGTTTCCTATGTTAGTAGTTTATAGACAAGGGAGTGTTTCATACAAACATTAGGAATAGAAATGTGACAATTCTCCAGTTTCCGATAATTTTCTGAGATAGGTTAAAGTTTGCATGCGATTTATAATTGTCATAATCAATAATCGTGCGCTACGTGTTAGGTTACACAAAATATCACGCAAAATGAAAAAGAGACTATTACTATTAATTAACATATCTAACGTCTCTGCCTGCCAAATATTCGTCCCTGAATAGTAAGAATAGTTGACTTCAATCGTCGAATGGCCAAAACGCATAGATATGGTAGCACCAGGGAGTTATAATTAGAAAGTTATTATGTTGAGAATGTGCTCAATTGATGGGCGATCGTTATACCAAAAGTGTCTCGCAACCTGTTTCATGGCATATCTGCAATAGTCAATAATTGAAAGCGATATATAGCGATGGCAATTAATAGGTGCTAGCCTATGCATGTATAAATTTCATCTACCATAAAGAGTAGTTAATAGAAAGAGACACAAACAAAATGTTTGCATAAACAACTATAATGACCATATCAAGAAGAACACAACGGCCGAAGAGAATATGTCTTGCTGTCATGAGACCCATGATTAAATGACGGCGTTGAAAAGCGTAATATTACAATGACCCTTAGAATTTCAGCGTTTTCTATCTAAATCTAAAACCCAGCTCCTGAGCTTTTTTCTTCTTCTTTTTTTCATGAAGTTGCACATTATCGCCCATATGACAATCCGCTTTGACAAACATAAACTGGAGTATTTTTGTCCAGAGAAATGATTTGAGAGTTTGTCGCCATCTTTAATCGATTTCTTACAATTCCCACAGAAAGAGCAAACCCATCGGCGCTGTTCTGTTTTCTGCAATCGTAAACGTAGTTGGCACTATCTTCATAAAGGGAAATATCTCGGTCCAAATTATACCACGCACTTTTAGCGTCAATCGTAGGTATAGCTAATAAAAGGACGCAAAACTCCAAATTATACCACGTTGTGGACAAATAGTAGTAATTCTGTCTCATCTGTTGATTCATTGTTCTTTGCGCCATTATCTATCAAATTCTTTATTGTTAAAGATCTCTTTTTTTTTGTTCCTTTCTTGCTAGCAGTCTTTAACTCTTGTTGCATCAAGGTTTCAGCACATTCTCAGCAACAAAATTCAATGATTTCTCTTTCTTCTTCATCGTATCAATTATGGTTGCATTATGGTTACAGTAAGTTTTACAAAAAATTCATGAGTGCTGTCATGTGCCATAATATATAATAGTGACGTTTCTCCAAGCATAGCATCATGCTGTGTGAATAGTAACAAACACAATAATCTGCATTTAGGAATATTGATAAATCACAATCGCGTAAAACGCAGTCGCTACTGTAAAATAATTCATTTAATTAATTCCAACGTACAGTATATTTCGATCTAGACTTAGATAGTTTGTTAGTGGAACGATAGAAAGATGAGCCTATTATAAAACTCTTTCCCTATACACTCCACTCCTTCCGAATAATTGTACTATTAGTTTAGCATTCATATAATAAAATATACTTATTTGACCTGGTCACTCCCGTGATTCTGCTACTAATAAACGTGTTCTACTTGAAGTATAATCAATCCCATTGATAGTAATAGAGGGTAGTGTTCTAACTGCAGGGTAATTAATAATCGAGAATCTGCGTATACAAATCGAACGTAAGAAGCGTGAGTATATGACATCCAATTTAAGATCACTAACTGTATTAGCGATTTAAGCAGGAATAGAGGCATTGAAAGAGCTAAATCCCAAAGCTAATTACTGAATACTCTCCCGCGGTGGTTGACTCGATAGTGCTCAGTCACCATAGTGAGTCCTTAGATTATGGTTGGAGCAAAATAGTAGTATGGTTTTATAAATCTTATACAGAATCCTGCTTTCTTTTATTCTTAATAGTTGTGGTATCGTTTATTTTAAAACATAAGGTGCAATTTTCACCTTGAGCTGATACTTCTGATTGTGCTGTAAATTTTGGGTTCCGCACGAATTTCATTTACCCTTTTATTTTTATGTAGACATAATTCTATATTAAGTGTGTTACAATTTTTAGTTAAAATAAGTTAAATTTCTGTCATTAATATTTGCCATGAATTCAAACGTGAGCCAATGCGGTGTCATTAAATCAAAATTATCAACTAAATTAGATGATGTGAATTTTGAGTTCAGGTGATCAAATGTTCACCTTGTCTGGTTTTGTTGCAGTCCGCCCCATATTAATCGTAGTTTTAATACTACAAATTTTATTCTCAAATTCTAAAATGCAATATAGTAAAGGATTAGAGAGAACCAAAAATCTAAACTTTCCTATTGCCAGAAAACTCTTTTGTTGTATTTAATATTTGCAATTAGGAATATGGCCTCTAATTCAGTTAACAAGTGAATGTGCCTGGATTGAGGAATATTATTGAGCGAGTAGGCTAGGAAAAAGGGAAAGTGTGTTGGAAGTTTGGAGAGGGACATGGCTGATTGCCAAAGTGAGATGGGAAAGCAAATAAAGTTTACATAAGGAGTATCCACAAATTGTTAGTTACAGTTACATTACAATTACAATTACAATTAGAATTTACAATTTACAATTGAGTTACTAGATATTAAACATTCTGCACCTTTCCGTATTATATTCCAAAAAAGACTGCCACATACCTTTCGCGGATGAGAATTTCCGATGCATCAATCGTCGATGGATTACTGATTTCGCGCCATGCGCTATGTACATCGAGGGTGAGGCATAAGTTAGCATTGCGATAACTTGCAGAACAAACACAAACAACTATGAAAATAGGTAACATACCCTCTTCTATGATTTCTTGCCTGAACTTCTTTGTCGTCTTTTCAAGATACCTTCAAGTACACGTTTGCCTTCACAATTGGGAAAGTTTCTAAGGTCGTAATACACAGGAGCAATTTCTAACAGCCTTTTAAAGAATGGTAACATGAGTATCCATTGGTGTTATAAGCGACTACTAACAACAAATACCAACCAATCAGCTTTGACTTCCGTAACCGTACGGATGTAGTTTTTTGTCGTTAGCACAAATTCGTTGTACAAAACCCACTCTGGTTGATGGCCCAGACACGATGATGGATGAAGCTGCACGATCTATACGAAAAATAAAAGCGCATTGTAGTAAAATAACAATACTGTTATAGCTTCCCACTTCTATAGCTACCTGGTTGTCTTTACATGTCAAATAGTGTCCAGATTTCTCTAAATGTGCAACTTGCATGAAGAACCCGGCAGTCAATGCCTTACGTATATTCACGTAGTAGTTTTTGTCGTTAAATGCAGTACTAAGCAGATCTTGATCACATCTTTCCATTATGCGCTTCAGCTGTTGGCGCACGTTATCGGCTGATTTGAGAGATCTGGCGCTAAGGAAACTCTCATAGCACCAATCTGGATCTCCGTTCTCTATTAATGATAGACGACTGCCATTAGAAACCGATATAGTCACATTATTTCGTGGAATAACAATGGGTATACCTTTTTTATAAGCATGATACACGTTTAACAACGTCAGGTGATCTCCGTCATTATGTGCAAATTTGGCTTTGGCTTCATCCGCTTGCTTCTTCATATCATTTGGTCGTAAAAACACATTAGGAACTGGAAAATTTCATAGAGCGTCCGAATATTCAATGTTAATCACAAGTAGGTTTGACCCGCTATCGTAAGGCGAAACGTCACAGACTTACCAGACAGTAAAGCCGTGATTGATAATATCTCATTTGAGCATTTATACTTTGGGCTCTCAATGAGCATCTTTGCCAGTTGAGGATCTAAGGGAAACTCTGCCATTAGATGACCGTCACCAGTGAGATTGCCATCATCATCCAAAGCTCCAAGATAATTGAGAAGTTCAAGAGCCCGCATCAATGTTTCGGGTGCTAAATAGGCATGCGAATAATATACATTAAAAATCGCTGTCTTAATTTCGATAGTGAAATGCAGTCATCAGCAATCACGTACCTGGTGGATCCATGAAATCGAAATGTACTAAATCGTCTATTCCAAGTTTCTTTAGTTGAAGGACAACACTGCCCAAATTACTTCGCAAAATCTCGGGATACGTTTGCTCCTGTAATTCCTTAACAAATGCCTTTTCCGTATACAAACGGAAACACTTTCCTTAATAAGAATGTAAAAAGAATGTGTTATTAATTTAACATGTTATGTTGAGCGAATTAACAATCATCTTTCATTCATTACCTGGTCGTGTTCTACCAGCTCTTCCGGCACGTTGTTGGGCCGAAGCTTTACTAATTGGGCTTACCAACAAAGATTCCACACGAATGCGTGGATTATATACTTTCTGCTTACTGAATCCGGGATCAACCACATAAACAATCCCATCGATAGTTAGAGACGTTTCCGCAATGTTAGTAGATACAATAACTTTCCTCCCAGGCTTTCCTCCCTTATCTCGTGGTGGAGGTGCATCTTCAAAAATGCGCTGTTGCTGCTGAGGCGGAAGCGATGAATAAAGAGGCAGTACTTTAAGAGGACCCACGTCGCTTTGTTTTGCTAATTCATCAGCTTCTTGGCGAATTCTACGGCAAGCGTCTTCAATTTCTTCTTCACCGGTAAGGAAAATCAATATATCTCCTGGGTCTTCACACAAATGGATTTGTATGACTGTTCTAATAGCAGCCTCCAAGTAATCCCTTTCTGGTTCAGGAGTATAAAAGATATCCACCGAAAATGCTCGCCCAGGAACAGTCTATCGAAAAATGAATTAACACGAATCATTAGCGAGTTCACAGTGGGGTTGTTAACGTTTTCATAACACTGCTTACGAGAACAGGTGCGTTGTTAAAATATTTCTGAAACTTTTCTGCATCGAGCGTAGCACTCATGACGATGACTCTTAAATCTGGGCGTTCTCTGGCGATCTAACGTAAATCCAAATAACGCGATTAGTGTGTTTCAACTAAAAATAAATATGGTAAACAACTTACATACTTCTTTGATTAGGCCCATAAGAATGTCAGTGGCAAGTGTGCGTTCGTGTGCCTCGTCAAGAATGATCGCAGAATATCTCTCCAGCTTTGGATCATTCATAGCCTCTCGCAATAACATACCGTCCGTAAGGTACTTTAAGATTGTTTTTGGCCCCGAGCAATCCTCAAAACGAATGTTATAACCAACTTCCTCACCAAGTTTCACATCCATCTCATCTGCAACACGCTGTGCCACTGACATAGCAGCAACTCGACGCGGTTGAGTGCATGCGATTTGCTTTTTCTTGAGATGGGGTAACTCGTCATAAACCAAAAACTGTGGGATTCTAGATTGAAACAAATTCATAAGTAAATGGTTGCAGCGTGAAGACGATTTGAGCGCAGATGAAAAGACGCTCACTGTGTTGTTTTACCAGATCCCGTCTCACCAACAAATACTACGAATTGGTTATTATGTATCAACTCGAGAAATTCTTCTCTTTGAGCGTGGACGGGAAGGTTTCGGCGATTTTTTAGAATTTCGCGGTATTTATGAGAAAAGGGTCTGTTGGTAAAAGGATTAACAAGACCATCTTCAGCCTGCCTGGCTTGCTCGGCCGTCGTTTTACCCGGAATAAACCCATCAAGGGGACTCTTTACGGATGTTGATGGTTGTGATCTATGAGCTAAGTATGGATTAGCTTCTGTCCTTACACGTTTATTCAATTGATCTGTTGGGTTGCCAGTTTGCTTGCTTTCTTGTAGTTTCGCCACCGGATCTTCGTCTAAAAAAACCCTTTTCTTAGGCGTAGTACTTTGACTGGCCATTGAAAAGTTGCCCAACGAACAAACTTTTGTTCTACTACTACTAACCTATTTATAGATTATCCGACTGCGCCAGACAATGACGTAACAACAGATAACGCCAATAAGAATAGTGGTAATTGTAGTGATATTTTATATTGGGCCGCAATATAACAGGTAGAGTGTTGTCACTCAAAGTAGACTTTTGCTTCATATTCAACCTAAAGCCATGGTAAATGCAACACAGACCGAGATCACTACTGAAGTGGTCGAAGCACCGCAAGAGACTGTCAAGGAGCTTCCGTCAAAACCAGTTGTTGGCATTATCTATCCTCCTCCCGATATAAGAAGTATCCTATCCTATCACTTTGATCGGTAGTAAAATCTGTTGCCGTATTTTGCATATTTATCACATATAAGTTTTGATGCGAAAAGACAATCGTTGTCTCTCAACTAGGTGTGCAGAAACCCAGTTCACTTTTAAACCAAAGGTGCTGAGAGCCTCGATCTTTTCGCGTCTTCTTTGTGGATATTCCAAGCAAATACTCTAGAAATAGATAAGTTTGCCTTATCCTGAACTGTAATATTTTGTAGATATTGTCGATAAGACTGCTGTGTTTGTAGCAAGAAATGGGGTACAATTCGAAGAACGGATTAGAGAAAACGAAAAACATAATGCCAAATTCAGTTTCTTGAATCCAAACGATCCTTATCATGCTTACTACCAATACAAAATTGCTGAGACTAAAGAAGGAAAAGGTAAAACTGTTGAATATTTTTTATATCAAAGAGCAGCGTGCTAAACTTCATACATTTGCATTGAAGTTACAACAAAGAAACGTGAAGCAAAAGAAGAAAAGGAGAAGAAGGAAGAAGTGCTCGTACAAAAGGCACCGCCAAAGGAACCGCCACCGTTTGAATTTATGACGGAAATGCCTGCAATATCAGCACAGGACCTGTAAGTGCCCGGTATTTGTTATAAATTTCTGTTCTATAACACGCTTTCTAACTAATGAGATTGCAGTGATATCCTCAAACTTACAGCACAATTTGTAGCACGTAATGGTAGACAATTCATGACAGCATTATCACAACGCGAACAGAGAAACTACCAATTTGATTTTCTTCGTCCCAATCATAGTTTATTCAATTATTTCACAAAGTTAGTTGAACAATATACGAAAGTATTGATTCCACCAAAAAATCTCAGCGAGAGATTGAAAGTCAACGTAGACAATAAGTACGAAATTCTGGATCGGGTTATGCAACGTGTAGAGTATGCAGCGTACCAAGAGGAAGAGAGAAAGAAAGCAGAGGAAAAGGAAGATCAGGAGAGAAGTAAGCCGATGGTATTAATTGTATCTTCCGATTGATGAATTTTTGTTAACTGTTGTGTGTTTAGTCGCATATGCCTCGATCGACTGGCATGACTTTGTTATTGTCGAAACGGTTGAATTTACTGAGGCTGATGAGACCATTGATCTCCCACCACCAATGAGTATAATGGAATTAGAAAACATGACGCTTGCCCAGAAGAAGATGGCGTCGGTCATGCTGGACGCACAAGTTGAAGACAAAGGGATTGAAGAAGACATGGAGGTTGTTGAAAATATTTTAGGAATATCTGGTTATTGAAAATTACCATATTGATTCATGTGAATTCATTCCTACACAGATGGATGAAGATGTTGAAATGGAGGAGGAAGAAGAGGATCAAATAGGGAAGAAAGACGAATCACTCGAGCCAGAACTAGAAGCAGAACCTGCGGTGATGGAGATTAAACCGCCGGATGCAACTGCACCTATTAAAATACGTAAAGACTATGTACCAAAAGGTATGTTCATTATGAAGACCTAAAGCGTTCAATGGTAAGTTTGATTCTAATGTAGCGATGAATATGTGTAGTTCACGCCCCCAAGACATCGGGAACGAGACCGCTGGGTATCTGCCCACGTTGTAATCAAGCCATTCCCGTGGATGAAATGGAAGAACATATGCGAATTGAATTATTAGACCCCAAGTGGAAAGAGCAAAAGGAAGCTGCAGACGCAAAGAAAAAGGAATCCAACTTATTACGAGAAGGTGAGCACTACGGAATATTATATTCGTATAATTGTATGTGTATCCGGTAACGTTATTTATTTTACATTGTATAGGTACCGATGTGGCCAAGATTCTCAAAAACTTCTCAGGCTATCGTTCAGATATTTTTGGTACCGAGGAAACTGAGATTGGTAGAAAGGTTTGTAGTATAGCTTTGCTTACGTAAGTAAGAACTGTAGACTATGTTTAACCATTAATATGTTGTATTAGATTGGTGAGGCAGAAGAAAAGAGGAAAAGGATTGAAAAAGAAAAAGTTGTCTGGGATGGCCACACTGCTTCGATCAACATGGCTACACAACGTGCAGCTGCAGGTGTGTCCATTGACGAGCAGATTGCAGCTATTCATAGAAGTAAGGGGCTGACAAGGTAACTTTGTTGGCACGGCTATTTGCGGAAATATCATATTCTAATTGTCGATTATTATAGTGACGGAGATTCCAAGATCGGTCCACGCATACCACAAGCGCAAGATTCACCCCACCAACAACAAGCACATATGGCAGCATCACAATTCCAAAACCTTCAAAATCAGCACCAAATGTATGGATTTCCTCCAGTCCCTCATAATCAAGTTTACTCACCATATGTTCCTTCCTCGGCACCGTTTGCTCACCAGCTGTCAGGTTACATCACTTCAGCACACCCACATGCTAACATGGCAATGGGTCATCATCATATGTTACAACGTCCACATATGCAATCTACGCATCGACCACCACAACCACCAGGCATGCCTCCAGTAATGATGTCACATGTGCAGGGACAATCACCTATACCTGCAAGCGGAATACCTGGAGCACCAATTCCTTACGCAGCTTCTATGTCGTTAGATAAGGAGAAAGGACGACTTGCGGAAGAAGACCTGGATCCAACTAACCCAGCAAAGAAACAGAAATTGGATGGTAATATACCAGCAGGCACTGGTTTTATGAACGATGATAATATGTCTGGACACCAGGTAGGAATTTAATTTTAGAATGATGTAGAATGTACTTCCAACGATTGTATTAACTGTATTCTCTCCCGTATTAGACTTTCTTCACTCTCACCATTCAATGCCCTAATCTGCCTGAAAAACCAGAATGGAATTGTACGGGACAGTCATTGGAAATTGAGGATGTTTCTCTAAATATGCTTGTTTCCACTTTAAAAGACAAGATTGCTGCACGATTGAGTTTTCCTGCTGGCAAACAGAAACTCGCAATTGGGGGTCAAGTTATGAAGAATCAAGGTGCATTAGGATTCTATAATATAGAAAATGGTACCGCCATATCGTTACAGGTGAAGGATAGAGGCAAGAAGTAATGTTGTACCATACGAGATCATTCTTGAAGCATAGCAATGTAATGTTAATATTTGCATGCATAAAAAATCGTGTTGCGTTGACATTCTAAAATAAATATTTGTACTTAATTTCGAATTGTGCAAATAGTGTACTTTATAAGGTCTATTGTATTTAGCTGTAACATAGCAAATCCAGACGATAATTTGATAAGCCTTTTATACGCAATGCATACCTATTCTATTTAAACATAGTGAATAAAAGAACAATTTACCAAAGTTACGTAGTCTCATCTACTAATGTTAATATACTTGAACATCATGATCAACTGATGTCACATGAGGTTGGGTGACGCATACAACAGATCAATTATCTACTGTACTGCTCTGCGGGAAAAAAAATCCTTACTCTACTTTTAACTCCTTCAAACTTGAGATTATGGAAGAACAAATAGAACAGGCTGTTGCTTGTGCTCTAAGTTCCACTGCAGATCCAAGCCTGAAAGCTCAGGTTGGTGGTGTATCTTCGAACATTAACATTCAATAGGATAGAGTGGTTATGTTCTTTTTAGTATGCTACGCGTTTCGTCTGCTGCGGGAATTTTGACCACTACCTTGTTTATATGCTGCCGAGAATATAACGAATGTTGGAAGAGAATATATATAGAGATCTTTTCAGAAACAGAATTCCGTAATTGCCAATCACCTCAAATATATACCGACATTAACTCACTGTTCGCGTCGTAAATAGCAGCATAATACTATAAGAATAACATGAATTAGTTCTGATCTAACTAATTCGTGCTATTATACAATAGGCTATTAAATACTGCCAAGACTTGAAAGAATCTCAAGGTGGATGGCAACCGTGTCTGTCATTATTTATGCATATACCAAAAAGGTAACATTTATTTAGTCTACCATTCATACGGCCGTGATCTCAGTATAGATTATTGTCTATCCGTAACTTACTTTTTATTAACCTCACAGTTCACCCTTCCCCTCTTTCCGTTTATTTACTCAATTTTAATATGATTTACTGTGTAATCGATTGTGTGATCAGTACTCCTGAGGCTCGCATGTTTGCTTTGGATGTTGTTGAACACGCTCTTAAGAATAGGTAAAAATACGCTTGTTGTGGTTGATGGATCAGCACGCTCGGAAAGTAACATCATCTCATGTGGAATTCCTTTGGATTTATTGTTAGTTATGAAGACGTTGACAAACAACAAGTGATGTTAATACGATCTACATTGATGGATTATGTAAAAAGAGAATACACAGGAGAACTAGGAAACAATCAGGAATCTGTCGAGCCGTCATGTACATATAAATACTTATTCACATAAGCCTAACACCAGATACCTTAACAAGTATACCATACTGTGTACATTTTGTTATAGATTATTTATTACGCATTTTATGTAACTTTTATATATGTGGACTTCCCCTGCACATGTTCTTTTTGTCATATCTGTATTCACTAGCTAATATAACGATTTAATCTTTCATCTTTTTAGTTTTAAAGAATAAATTCGCTCATACGATAACTCTCATCTTTGTCAAATCATATCCATCCATGTGGAACGATTTCTTCGATGAATTCTTAAGTTTGCTTGCACCCAATGGTTTATCAACGAACAAGCGGATTACAGACCTATTTCTTCGAATTCTACGTTCAATTGACGAGGAAGTTGCTAGTCTAGTAGTACCTCGGGGGAATATTGAAGCAGCGCGGAATGTTATGATTGTGAGTTCTGTGTAAATTAGGCTGTCTGTGGGTGTTTCATGATTTCTTTTCATTGCTTCTCATCTTTTTTTACTTTTTCGCAGAAAGATACTATGCGAAATGGTGACGTCCAGAAACTTACAACTGCTTTGTATGAGCTGCTGAAAGAATTTCATTTACGCGATGAAGGGATTGTTAATACATGCTTGAGCTTGATCGGGTTATATATCGGTAAATTTTGCTTCCTGGCTATAATTATTGCCATTGATTTTTGCGTAACTTTTATTACAGTGAAATTGATTATTTATTTACCATAGCCTGGATTGATATCTCGCTTGTTGTAAACGATGCGTACATTCCCTTGCTCTATCAGCTCTTGGGTGAAGAAGCATTTCGCAATGCTGCCTGTGAATGTTTGACTGAGGTTCATATATTTTATTCTATATTTTATTGAATAATTTCACTATATTAATATATTCATAGCTAATATATATTATTGTAGATCGTCAACAAAGGTATGAAACCATTAGAAAAGCTCAGTTTGATCCAATATCTAAATTTGACGGATGTTTTGGGGAAATTGGATTTGGTATGGAGAATTGGAATGCTCATTTTCTTGTACTATACATATTGTTATTATTCGAATGATTGGGAACTTTTCCTTAGATTGTGCTGACAAGAACCTTCGCATCCAAGGTTAGCGATATACATTTTACGGAATATGTAGCAAAGTTAACCAATGTGTTGGGGATGGAATTATGTAAGATATTTGAAGAGGTAAATACGAATTGCGCGTGTGGGCGTTCTGTATTAGTCGATCGACAAGATGATAACATACAACATAATTTATTAAGACAGAAGGTATAACAGACGCAACAGCGGCCTCTTACAGTCAAATAGAAACTTTAATCCCGTTCTTATTAAAATTTCTGGGGGATGAATATGATGATACATCGTCTGCGGTATTTGGTTTTCTGGGGTCGTTACAAGGAGTCGTAAGTTTGTCTTTATTTACACGTCGTCTTCCCTTCAAGACTTTTTGCATGTCACTCTTCATTATGATAGTAATCTGTTTCAATTCATAATAGTTAAAAAAGAAGAAGAAGAAGACGGGAGAGCTTACCAGCTCACAGCGAGAACTCCTTCACTCGCTATTAAATATTATTGTACTGAAAATGAAGTACGATGAAGATACTGACTGGGGTGGAACAGATGAGGACGGCGAGGATGAAGCAGAGTTTGTCTGCATGCGTAAGGTACGTACGTCCATTCAGGCGACTCCTACAGATACCCAAAATAAAGATAATAAAAACCATTTGGATTCTGAAATACCTGTAAAACCCTCCCTCTAGAGTTTGAAGGTCTACTTTGACGCAATCCTAGTTCTCGATGAGGATCTTTTTACATCTTACATTCGATCTGCCGTGATTTCGACGTTGGATAATTACCACAAGAACGGAAATGAAATCGATTGGAGGGAGTTGGAATTAGCTCTACATGTATTATACTTATTCGGGGAAAGAGGATCGATAACCTTTGTTGTTAAACAAGGGAATGAGATTGTAGGATTGACTCCTTTGGGTGAGATGATACTGAAGATGATCGAAAGCAGTACGTATTGTTTTGTTGGTATGAAGAAAATTGTGAGTCTTTAAAATAGAAAGACAAGCATGAGGACCTGGGATCTTAAGAGCATATGGGACTATTTAACTGGAAGCTAACTATCGACCACTTTTATTGATTTCCGCTATCTACATTTAGACGTCTCAACATACCCACATCCCTCAATACCACTCTACTTCTTTGAAGTTGCCACAAGATATTATCAATTTTTCGACTTCAGAACAGACTGCATTCCATCCGTGCTTGAGGCTTTTGTGGATACACGAGGGCTGCATCATTCCAGTCGCCAGATACGCAGCCGCTCGTGGTATTTGTTTCTGAGATTTGTTAAAGCATTAAAGGCACACATGAATGGATTTGTCGATACCGTTCTGGCTAGCATTCAGGTGTGTTGACTGAAGATTTAAATGTATTAGTAATAGAGAAGCTTTTAACGTGATAAATCCGATATGTTGAATAGGATTTGTTAATTGTACAAACAGAGTTACTGCCGAACGAAGGTGCAACTGATATTTTAAGCAAAGATAAAGCTATGACGGGCATCTTCAATGATCAGATTTATTTATTTGAGGCTACTGGCATTCTAATTACTGCTGAATCCGTTTCACCTGAAAGCCAACTGAACTACGCAGAGGTATTGTATTCTTCGTTGTGGATGTAAACCCGAGTCTTGAGATTTTATGCTTCGTTCACGCGATGGAGCGTTCCCTCTACTTGATAGCAAATGATCTTATTCTTAATATCATTCCCTTTATAGGCTGTAATCAATCCGCTACTGTCTGATATCCAACAGAATCTCACAGATTTATCAAGTCATAAAGATAATTTATCTATATTACAAATACATCACTCGATAATGGCCATTGGCAGCTTTGTCAGGGGTAAGTTACAACTAAATCAATAATCCGAGGAGAGCGTTACATTCATTATACTATCGGATTTGAATAGGCTTTCCAGACTCCTTAAAAGGACTATCTCATACAACACAATGGAAGGTGTTTCTCAATCGAGTAACAGAAGCCATTCTAGTCGTCCTCGAAGAATTGAGTGAATATCAGATCATTCGAGATGCGGTGAGTGTGCTGTTGGAATGTGCTTAGTGCTTCATTGACTCTTATTAGAATTGATAAACGACAAGAGCAGTTATTAACTAATTACTTGTTTCGAAATGATAGGTTAGATTTGCATTCGCTCGTTTGGTGAAAGCATTGGGAACGGATGTTCTTCCTTATTTGCCCACTTTGATAAACGCTTTGTTACGAGACAATCAGATATCGGAACTATTAGATGTATTGCCGTTCATAGGACTTATTGCTCATAAATTTAAGGTGGCTAGCAATTTTGTTAAAGTTTTATGTAGTTTAATCAACAGATTAACTGATTGTATGGATTACTAACATCTCTCTGCTGTGTTTATTATTTCGATATAGCCAACCATCTTTAATACTATAAACGATTTGACGTTGCCACTTGTAGAAAAAGTGTTTACCTGTCTTAATCAAGCACCGTCTGGAACGGATGAAACAAGGCTATTAATAGACCTTCGGAAGGCATATCTTAACTTTGTACTTGCATTATTTAACAGTAGGATGGAAGCTGTGTTTGTCAGCGAATGTAAGTACAGAAATATGTTCTCAATGGTCCATTTATTAAGGGAAAGCTACATCTCTTTCCATTCTAGTTCACGATAAGGCGACGCATGCTACATTTGTTATTTATCCTTATTGATTAGCGTTTCTTCCACAGTAAACCAACCAATTCTAGAAACCTTTCTTCAATTTATTATCCACTGTGCTAGCGATCCCTCTGATATACCAACGGTTAAGGCATCATTTAACATTCTCGCAAGAGCCATAAACTCTTGGGCCAGCAATGAGGAGGCAATAGAAAGAACTTCAGAATCAGTTGAACCAGATCGACCATTGCCTGGGTTTGAAAAGTTTATGTATGAACATATACTGCGCGTGTGTTTTGAATTGCCATTGAAACCAGAATTTAATCTCAACGATGCGCAATCTGTTATGGTAAGAAAGAGGAATGAATTTCGTTTTGAGTGTCGAACGGTTGTTCTAGAGTAAGAGGAAACGAATGATCTAATCTGGTTATAATGAATTTCGAAGATCTGTTATAATGAAGATTATCTCCAAACCAATAATTAAATGGTTATAATCTTGCTATAATAAGAGACCTTGGTTATAAGGAATTTCTGGTTATAAGGAATATCCCGTAGAATTTGTTATAACCAGATTAGACCGGTTATTGATAGAAATTGTTGCGATGCAAACGGAAGATTTTCATCTTGGCTAACATTATTTCACGATCTCCAGGTATTATCTGAAATAACTAACATACAAAGAGCGATGTTAGCTAAACGCCCCACCGAATTTCCAAAATACCTGACGTCCGTTTGGTTTCCGTCTATCCAATGCCCTCCGGAGCTTGCTGAGGAGTATATAAAAGCTCTACGAGAACCAAACGCCAGAGTGTTTAGGAAGTATTTCCAGGTTGGTATTTGTCGATATACATACTTCTATCAAGGGTTTTTTTACTTATTCGTTTAATGTGTTGTTATTTTACAGGCATTCATCCATCGCTCTAAATCATAGGAGATATGGAGTCTATTCTGCTGTTTCTATCACCCTTTTATGTTTGCTCTATAGACGGTATCGCGGCTTCTTAATTACATTTTGCATTTTATTCTATACAATTGTTTCTGTAATACTTGTGCCAATAGAACTATTCAGAGAGTTTTACGCAGTCAAAATATACAGATTTGTTCAGTAGAGAATCTATCCAATTGTCCTTGTTTTATGTCTGTTTCCTTTTAAATGAGGGCAATCGTTCTTAATTCCAAATGAAGCTATGGAAGGGATGTATTTCAAGCCCATGAAGGAAAAAAGAATACGCGGAATAGTCTACTCCAATTGTTTAACTTCTAAGGATTGCGTCGACCGGAACTCAGTCACACCCAGACACTCAGTCCAGAACTCAGTTGTCTCAGTCTAGAACTGAGACAGGTCCCCAACTGAGGTACAACATACTGTTCCTGAAATTGAAGTACCCCTCTGGACGCGGAAGAGTGCATTGTCCAATTCTTTTATTCCGTAGCGAGCAGTGTTTATCAAGACAAATATTTTAGTATCGGTTTTAAAGCATGAAGTTATAGTTCGATAAAGTGATAGAATTGGATGAAATGCAGTATAATCTTCTATTTCGCATAGTTACTTACTACAGCTTCGTGACAGTAATGGATTTAATTTATAGACTTGTAATTACAGACTAGTGTGCCAATGTTAAAATGACGGAATTCCACGATTCCAATTGTAATACAAGTCTGTTGCATAATACCGTTAGGGATCAAGTTTCTTATAACAAGCAATTTTTTAAAGAATTCCCACGATATAAAAAGGTTCTATAATGTCAACCAAACGATTTCTTTATAGACTTTATTTCATATCGATATAGTAATAGTAGCACATGCGAACAATCGGCATTCTCCCTGTGGCTATATTATCTATAGAGTTCTGCTCCTCATTAGAAGTAAGAGCCTTGTCCTGTCAATATTTTCTTTCTTCGATTTACGCTTATTATTGTAAAAATTCATGAAGGCCTTTCTGTAAAGAGAAATTTTTTTGCGAAGCAGGATGCTCAGTGCCTAATTTAAATTCGGTATTAACTGAATTATTTTCTGGAAGTTCGTTACCCCCGTCAACTGTAGTTTTACCTGATTAGGCGAATTCTGGGATATAATTTCCGATTTCAAATTGTTATTCTCGATTTGTAATTCGGATAATTTGGCTTTACTCGCAGAGCGAGCTTCACAGAGAGATAAAATTTCAAAGTCTTTTTGAGCTAAATCCAATTGTCCTCCGGTTTAATTTTTGATTGAAGCGATTTTATCTTAAAACTCAGCCAATTATGTCTTTAAGAGATAAAAATTCGGAATCTTTCTTTGACAAATCTTTTTGAGCTGAAGCCAATTTTTCTTTCAACATTTTGATCCCAGATTGAAGCAATTTTATCTCCTTTGATTTTATAGTAATCTGATCCTTGCATTGCGGCAGAGAAGTTATTTATTAGAATTTTCAGTTTGTAATCGTTTAGCCTCATTAGCAACCTCCAAGGCATAGCGTGTGTATTTTCTGAATCTCAGTGGCATTCTGTGTTAAACTACGTTTCAACCGCTTTTTTTCTCGATCCCACACCTCTTCTGTTCGAAATATTTTGTTTGTTTCGATCGCTCATCTCGCAACGTTTTATTGCAAGCATTTAACTCGAATATAATTTTTCACCGCGACGTAAATCTGCATAAATATTGTTTTCAATATCCATACTATTAGTAAAATATTTACATATTTCCAAATATTATGTAACACTTCCGTCTTTATTAAGTAGAATATGTTGATAGGCCCGTACGCCTAAATGGAAATTCGGAATGCTTTATATTTCTAATTTTTTATTCCCATTTTTCCGATACGATTTACTATTTATATTTTTCCAAAATGTTATTTTCGATACATTTAATCGCAAAGTAAAAAATACACTAGTTCACTATGGTTAGAGCACGCATACGATCCGATGCACTTTTATTTTCGCCTGATGATTATTCCTATATTATGCAATGTCGCACTATAATGTTCAGCTACAAGATTTAAATGAATTGATTGATAAATACAAAACCTCAATACCAGATTTGGAGAGGAGAAAAATTAAATAGAGTTTTCTGGGACCAACCTATACCTCATGACTACTTGCAGAGCGGAAGTATTTTCGCGCCTAAAGCAGATGGTATAGGAACATTGAAAAACGCTGAAGAGCCAGACGCGAATGTCTGTGAAACAAATGTTGGTGAAAATACCTTTCAAACAGAAACTCAAAATAAAAAAGCCAGAAAAAGGCAAATTTATCCGTAACTCCCGAAAAAAAAAAAGAAGAAAAGCAAGAAAATAACACGACTTTTTAAATTTTTTTTTATTATTATCCTGCAGTTGTATCGTTATTTAGAGCTTTTCGTAGTATTTGTTTGTTTGTTTTTTTTTTTTTTCATCAAAAACTGAATTTGTTTTATTATTCTTAATTTCGTAGGGATTCAAGAAGAATGAAAAGTTTTTTCTTTTAAACTGTTTTTTTTAATGAGGAGAAGAAGGTTAACTACTCAGACAGTTTCCTTAAAAAAAATTTTTCTGACGCCTTTATCGCCACCCGAACGCCAACAAGATTGTTTATTCTTGGCGTTGGAGGGGAAGTTTGAGTCGCCATTTTTATTGATTGGGATTTTTTTTTGTCGTAATAATTCTTTGATTCTTTCTTAAGGCTGGTAATTTTCTCCTCGCACTCAGTCAGTTGATTGTTTTTGCTGTCAATATAACCACTTCGTTTGTTTTAATTTTGATCAATATTTGATTTTTTAAATATTCGATTTCGTTCTCTTGATTAGATATGATGGAATCTTACTCTCTCTCGCATTTTTCTAGTTCACGGATAAGTCGGCGAATTTTTTTCTCATTATTACGGTTAATTTCTACTTCACGATTTAGTTCTTCCCGTAATTCCATATAGACGCACGAATGCCGGATCTAGCGAATTATTTTCCATTTTATATTTCGATGGAAAAAAATGACCAGCCGGAGATCTATATTGATCCTAAAGAAGAATTCGAATCGTCTGTCGTATTTTCTGTTATAGGCTTCAAGGTTATTATCGTACCGCTGAAAAATTGCGCGACGCGTGTAGGAAAGCTGGAAATAATTTTTCATTGGCTGATGTTAATGTGAGAGACTAGTTAGACAAACAGGCACTACATCAAATAAGCCTCATTCACGTGCGAGCTTTAACAGTATTACTGTTCCGATGGATGTTATATGCCACAGCACGGCTAAAGGATTGGAAAAACTTTTTAATTCTCGAAAGTATCCGCTGACGTGGCTATTCCATTTTGTACGTATGTTTGGCTATAGTAATAGTGAACGCTGGCTAAAATGGTCAGCATATATATCAACAAATCACGTGGCCACACTTTTATAGAAAATCTATATCCGAAATTAACCGCTCAGATTCACCCAAAACCCGAGTGTTCAATGTAAGCCTTAGAAATAAATTTTGATACATTCTTCTGGAATCGTATGGTTTCTAATTCATCGTAATAAAATAGTATTCCAGTCCAATAAACTGCACTTGACTGAAAAAATTGCAGGCTATGTAAATAAACATCATTTTCGGCCGGTTCGAATTGGAGAACTATCAGGATCACTGTCTTCCTTAATATTTCCAATACCGAGTTTGTGTTTATTCTTATCTGGGGTTATTGGGTATGCTGGAAGACTTCTGATAAGTTTGGTTGATTCAAACAAGTTATCATTGTCCTCATCTTGAAGTTGGTATATTGTATTAGAAGTTTCTACCAATCCATGCTGCGTATCAACAGATTAGTAAGTTACTGGCAATGTTGCAAAAGGATCACCAATATACATACCTTGAGATCCCAAAGGAGGACAACAAAGTCAAATATATGCTTACGATGTTCTTCATAGCAAATTGGCACAATTGACTTATGTGATCGTTCATATTGCAGAACACTGCAGGCTGGATTATGCATTTGCCATAACTCGATTCGTTCCTCTATAAGTTACAGGGGTTAAAATACAAAAACTAGAAATATTGAAAAAACAACCAAACACTTACCATATGTATGTAATGAAAAAACTCTTAGTTTTGCAAAAGTTTCAGGAGAACCACCTCGAAATTGTTCCCCAATTTCTTCCATCATATAAGAATTCCCAATGTATAATTTGCAACCATCCCATGTAGATCGGGGAATATCTGTATGCCCATATCCACCACTCATTTCTAAGTGGCCCACCTCAATTAGCTTTTTTTTCAACTTCACGAAAAATATCCCATCAGCTTTCTGCTCATAAAAATTGACAGATTTTCGTCGTTTTCTACAAGACTTAATAGAAGATAAAGCCTCTTCTCCCCTTATATAAGAGAATTTGTTATACAGGATGTATTAAAAAATCAACAATGCCTCAAAAAGCAAAGTTACTTACATATGATAATATAGATGAGATTCTGAATCAAAAAGCATTTTCTTTAGACAATGGTGAATTAAGTAACCTCCATAATTGGCTTCAGACACATTTGGCTGTTGCATTACAGAATTTTCTGCAAAAACGTATTTATGGCTAGACAAAATTTTAATGAATAAGTAGATAAGTTGAAGATTTAAAGAAAACAATAAATACTTACAATAATGAGAGGATTTTACAAAAAAAGGTACTGAATGGATCTTCAAGATATGAAGTTATCTTGGTCTTCTTAAAATTATCTGAGGACTGGTTGTTTGCTTTCACTTTGTTCACTTCACAAATTTTCATGTTTGATTTAATTTGCTTAATTTCAGGTCCCAAAGATTCTAATGATTTCTGTTGTAAACAATATTATGATATTAGTATTAGAAAGAAAGCAGGAATAAAACAACAATACACATAATGTAAAACAGAAAAATAATACCATTTTTAGAAGTTTTATGATATGCTCAGAAGGTCTTATAAGACTTGGGCATCTTGTAGAACATTGTATTTCAGCATAATCATCATCATCACACCATTTTGGTTTAGCTATCTTGTGCCCACAGCGGACAATTCCCCAAACCTCTGGCCTAAGAGTTCAAATACAAAATATAATTTACAACAAATACAAGTAGGCATAAAACACTAATCCAATATAATTACCTCAGAGGATGCCCTATGATTCTTGATGCTCGTCTTAACATTTTAGTGACTACTGAGCCAGATTTCAGTGTCCAATTCTTCCAAGAATTATGGTCAAACAAATGCTTAGAATATGAAATTATAGCTTCTTCAGTTTCTTGAACTATTAGTTCCGGATCAATTTCCATGCCCTCCACATAGTTTGGAAGTCCTCCATCAAAGACAGAAACCTGACAAGACTCTAGAACCTGCTAGAACAATAAGAACTTGAGATAAAAATTACTGTAGAAAACATATTCCTCCTCAACCACTTACATTAGTTGACCCAATAAAAGTGTTCAGTAGGTCACTGCCTTCTCGTGATGATTGTGGTGGTGGTGTAGTAAATTGGTTTTGATGCTTCTTTGAAATCTGACTTTCCTCATCACTTTCATAAATTCGCCTCTTTCCTAATACACTCTCAGGACCCCCAAGCTCTTCATTATATTGGAGCTGACAAAACGTTTGATTAAATTTATACATTGAATCAAAAGGAATAACAGCTACAACTCATACCATTGCATTGTTAACATTCCCGATGGAAGCATTAACATTTTTAATGGAGTTTTTGAACACTTCGGTGGTGTCTTGCATTATAGTACACGATGTCTCTGCCTGCAGTCATAAAAAGTCATGTAACTTCGAGTTCGGCTTAGTTGATTGGAAAAGTTGTTAAACAGAAGCTCACTTCAGCCAGTTGTCTTTCAATTTTCATCCAAAACATATCAGCGTCTTTGAAATATTTGCGATGTCCCTATATAATTAAGGGATTAATAACTGTTCGAAATGCATGATTGAAAATAAAAGCATGCTAGAGGCGCACAACGGACATTCCGTTCCGTAAGGTGGTCAACATTCCGATTGTCCACCGTAGTTGTGTGAGTTCCTTCCTACAAGATCACTGGTTGTAATCTTTACAACCTCAACAAGTAGTACTCTTATACAAGGACGGTGAAAAGCTATCATTCCGTATAACCCTCAAAGTCTTGTATGCCTCTCTCCGCCGACTAGAATAAAATAACAAGAAAACGAGATACTTTCACCTTGTGGACACGCTCCAGATTACTAGCGCCTATTTTCATTTCAGGCGAACCATATTTCTTCAGTTTAGCAAGATCGCTTTTTAATTTATACGATTCTTTTTTGAAGACCGAAGTGAAATCGGCTTGCTTTGATCTATATGTGTAAAAGCCTACAAAACTATAATCTTTTGGTTGTACTATGTCGAAATAAGCATTCCAAAACACGGATTTTCCTGACATAATTATTCGAAGGGAGTATAATAATAAGAACGGTGTAAAACGCGAGGACGCGAGATATGTCACCTGATTGCATTCTGGTCGATCGGTCATGTGCACATATCAATTTGTAAAAATTTATTCCTGATAGTATACTAATTCCTGACATGACGCTATATTATTGCTATGTCCATCCCAGGTCTAGATATTAATTCGACTCGTTTTGCTTCAAAAAATCCCACCCAGATCGGGACGAGTAGCAAGGTTATAGTATGAGAGAATAACCTTTGAGCATTCTACTAATTTTTTGATATTGATTACTTATTTTTGTAAGGGCCAATAACTTCAATAAGTACAACTTTATTGCTGAACTACATATACATGTTAAAGCTCATTTTAAAAGGGCCAATAACTTCACCTCGTTGGCTTTCAGTTAAGGGATACATTTCAGGACCAATGAAGGTTAGAAGTGCCATGATTGTTTCTTTTTCTATTGTCTACCATCACAAAAAGATAAGGCATATCTAAGGAAGCACTTTGAGAATGTGGGAAGAAGTTTGGGCATGTGTTCCCTACATATACACTGATTTCGTGTGTCCTTTATTAAGCACAGCTAAGGTTGACCCCTCTAGTGCTGCATGTCACACTGAATGCTCATGTAAATCTACATGCAAGCTGACATAAATTCTTTCATTAATATTCAGAATTTGACAAGTTTTTCACATGGGGACCAAAACCAGACAAAGTGAACATTTGACTATGTACATGTGAGTTAAAAACGGCTGATTTGGCTGAAAAATTAACTAAGTGATAATAATAATGACATTTTGGAAAGGTCTTGCTTTAGTGGCACAGCTAATATAGGTAAAAATGCTTAGATAATTAACTGTCAAACATTGGCTTTGCAAAGCTTGTCACGAGTACGTCAAAGTCCATATGAAATGTATATTTGTCAAGGCTTCTTTCTATAACTCCATGGTTAAAGATAAACCCAACAGTGTCAACCCACATAGCACGCTAAAAAAACTTGCTAAAACCAAGGCTATAATGTTGTGTGAAGTAGTATGACATTCCCTAGTAAATGTCGAATGCTTTTGTGATTGCAAATTGAACAAAGTAGAAATCCAGTGGAATAGGATCAGGAAGATTTTGAGGGATTTGGGTAGGAGGCTTCAACCCATGATAAAGACAGCTTAATGATATGTTAATGATGCATTGACCTTGATTAATATTTGTTGCGGTTCCCGTGCCATCTTGGGTTCCAAATTCAAACTAATAATCATTATACATACATTAGAGATTTTTAAAATGTTAACAGAAAAGCGAATCACTATAGTCTAACATTACCGTAGTTACAAGAGGAACTGTATTTCTCGTTCCTATAC